GAGCAGGGAGCCTGATGCGGGGCTCGATCCCAGGACCCTGGGACCATGACCTGAGCCGAAGGCAGCCGCTTAACCACTGAGCCACCCAGGCACCCCCACAGTCTTCTTTGTTTGCATGGAGCCGACACTCCAGCAGCTTCCAGAGAAAGGGTTTGGTGTGGGAGGGAACTCTTGATGCCATGCATGTCTGAGAATATCTTTGGTCTACCTAAAAACCTGGTTGACAGTTTGGTGGCTAGAAAACTCTAGGTTGAAACCATTTTCCTTTAAAATTCTGAAGGCAATGTTCCACTGACTTCCAGCTTCCGATACTGCTATTGAAGATTTTGCCTTCTTGATCTGTTTCTTTGCAAATGGCCCATTCCTTTTCTCTCTGGAAGCTTGAAGGATCTTTTCTTTGTCCCTGGTGTTTTGAAACTTCACAAAGATGGGCCTTACTTAGCACGGGCCTATTTTTGTCCACCATGCTTGGGCACGTGGCAGGCCTTTCAATGTGGAAACTTACATACTTCAATTCTGGGAAATATTCTCAAATTATTTTGGTGATTTCATGCTCTGGGGTCTCTCCAGTTTCTCTCTCTAGAAGCCCTATTATGTGGATATTGGACTCTAGGACTGATCTAGTTTGCTGATCTTTCCATCTTCTACCTCTGTTTCTAATGCTCTTTCTGGGAGATTTCCACTTCAGCTTCCAACTCTTCTTCTGAGTTTTTTTTGTTTTTTTAAAGATTTTATTTATTTGACAGAGAGAGCACTAGCAGAGGGAGAGAGAGGGAGAAGCAGGTTCCCTGCTGAGCAAGGAGCCCGATGTGGGACTCGATCCCAGGACCCTGGGATCACGACCTGGGCCGAAGGCAGCCGCTTAACCGACTGAGCCACCCAGGCGTCCCTTCTCCTGAGTTTTTAACCTCTTCTCATTTCAAGTTGTTTTCTGATCTCTACATATTCTTTCCAAACAACATCCTGTTATTATTTCACGGTACCAATATTTTCTTATCTTTCTTGGCATATTCGATGCTAGCTGCCTGTCTACGTCTCCCCCCTCCCTACCTGGTAACCATTTTCTCCAAGCTGCTTTTCTCTCTCCTGGCTATCTGCTATTATTTAAGAGTGGAGCACTGAAGAGCTGACTGGAAGCTCTGGGATCACGAGGCTCACCGACATGAGCTTCACTGTGGGGAACCCTGGGTGTTGCTATCTTTCAGTCCTTCCTCTTGGGCTAGTCGGTTTCCCCAGGGATGATTTTTTTAAATTGAGGTGGGGTTCACGTACCGTAAAATTCACCACTTTAAAGTCTACAATTCAGTTGTGCCACCACCACCTCTCTCAAGTTCCAAGAGCTCTTCATCACCCTCGTACCCACTAAGCAGGCATTCCGCATTCTCCCCTCCCTCCAGCCCCCGGCAAACACTCATCTGCTTTCTGCCGTGATGGCCTTGTTATTCTGGACATTTCCTAGAAATGGAATCATGCCATCTGTGAGCTTTTGCGTCTGGCTCCCCTCGCTGAGCATGTTTTCAAGGTTTGTCCACGCTGTAGCACGGTTCACAACTTCCTTCCTTTTTACGGCTGAATAATAGGCCAGCGTACGGCTAGGCCGCATTGTTTATGCTGTCATCAGCAGACGGACCCTGGGGTTGTTGCCACCTTTTAGCTCTTTGAACATCTGTGGGTGGTTTTTTGTTTCATCTCCTGTTTTTATTTCCCTTGGGTATGTGCCTACGAGTGGCATTGCTGGGTCACAGGACAAACTCTCTGCTTAGCTTTCTGCCACAACAGCAGCGTATGAGGGCTCCGTTTTCTCCCCCCACCCTCGCCAACGGAGAAGGTTCTTCCGTGCTCCCACCCAGAACGTAAGGACCTGTTGCCAGAATGCTGGGAGTCAGTAGGGAGAGTGAGCTCCTGTCCGTTCACCTCACCCCCTGATGACACTTGGGTCCCCAGCCCGGAGAGCCACTCTCATGCTCTCTCGAGAAGAAACCTCTGTCAGAGTCATCAGCTCCAGAGAAGAGGAGACAGGGTCTGGGGAAGCTAACTGCTTATTCCAAACAGAACTGCAGGTTGCCTTATCTTTCCCCCTTCGCCCCAGACCCCGAGTCATCTGGGGCTCTACGCGATGCCAGGTGGGGCTGCTTCTCAGCTTCCCCGCTGCTGGTTTGAGACCCTGTTTCTCAAGCTAAGTCATCTACAAACTTTTTGGCTTCCCAAATTTGGTTGCTATGTCTCCTTTCTCATCTTCCCTGTTCTTAGAGGTTTATGCCTTTAAAACAATGCCCTTTCCTGACGTTTTTATGGTGTTTTGGGAGGGAGACCTTCCATATCTTTAAAGTCATTCCTACTCTCCGAAGGCAAAGTCAATGTCTCACCCTTGCAGTAAATGCCAGACACTCAACAAACCCTCTGCATTTCCCACAAACCAAGCTATATATATACATATATATTTTTTAATTCATGGAAGACTAGACACATTCAACTCAACAGATTACCATTTCCACTCACCTGTTTTTCTCGAGCAGATTCACAGTTGTATAAGAAAGTACCAAATCGGCAACTATACAGATGATCCAAAATTGTAATCAAAAATCGTTCGTTGAATTCAAAAGCTGTAGGGAACTAGACAAAAACACGCCAACAAAGAATGAAAACTTGGGACTGATCTTTTATAGACTGAAAAGAGGTGTATACATGATGCCCCCTTGTAGCCTTTCAGGAAGGCCAGCAGAGGTTGCTACCCGCACACACCCTACATTTCTTGGTGCTCTGCACAGGACTGAGGAGTTTGAAGGAGTGTCAAGTATAGGAATCAAAGGAAAACAAGCAGATTTGCTGGGTTCTCCTGAGCGTACAGGGTAGTTTCTTCATTGATGGTGTCCTATGTACAATAAGCCGGTACAGAGGGAATGGAAAAGACGACTTGGGACTGTCAATTCCATTAGGAGAGAGGATGCAGTGAAATATTTAAATTTTAAAACATTATGGAAAATCCCAGACATAAATAGCAAGAATAAAACCGTAAACCCCATGTACCCATCACCCAGCTTCAACAATGACTTACATAGGGCCAGACTCGTTTCATCTCTATCTCGGCCCTGTGTACTGTGAGGCAAATCCCGGACATTAGATCAAAATACTTAAACGTGAAGTCAAATGTATTTTTATCCTGTACATATCCCTTACCTGTTTCGACATCTGCCATACACAATCAATAAACTGGAGAAAAATAGGAGATCGGTCAGCATCGGCGTGGTTTTTATCACCATGACCTATTCTCTGAAATGAATGGATGAAGACCATTTGTTTTCATTTACGGGTACAAAACTGAGAAAGCATATATAACCCACAAAATGTGACAATACAACTCATCAATCTGCTTTCCAAATGCCAAGTTTCTCAGAGAGTAAATGGTATATGTTTTTCCTTGGCAATATAGAAATGTGCAAAGGTTTTGAAATAATGGAAATCCAGTATAGATATCCATAACATCCCAATGCCAACTGGCAAAGCATCATCACATTCACAGCTATTTCTACCAGCAGCTGCAGGTAGACTGGGCCAGCTCAGCCTGCAGTTAGGTTAGCTAGTGCTAAGGGACCAACCCTCAAGTCTGAAGCCTCGAAACGATGTCCAAAACAGTGTGATTAGGAAGTGAAGTTTTTTCTCTCTTAAAGACAAGACAAAAGCCTCACTGTTTATTTTTATTAACAATGGTTCTTTCTACTTGAAAATGTTATTCACACTACTTAGGAAACATGGATGAGGATCACCTGAGGGAGCTTGTTAAAAAGGCTTTTTCAGGGGCACCTGGGTGGCTCAATTGGTTAAGCATGTCTGACTCTTGACTTCGGCTCAGGTCACGATCTCAGGGTTGTGAGATGAAGCCCTACATTGAGCTCCACGCTCAGTGGGGAGTCTGCTGGAGGTGCTCTTTCTCCCTCTGCTCCTCCCCCTGCTCGTGCTCGTGTGTGTTCTCTCTCAAATACATAAGTAAATAAATCTTTTTTTTTTTTAAGGCTTTTTCAAAGTATATCTGGAAATAAGACCTGGAAATATGAATTTTAATAGGTTCTCTCAATTTTCGAAAGGTGCATCAGAGAATAATAATAGTAATAATAAAACCTCAACTAATAGTCTAGCATCTCTGTAAAATGTATTTGGTTCTAATGGCTATAACAGCTGAGAAAGAACGGTCATTCTACCTTCCTTCTTTCACACAATTTCAATGTAAACATTTCCATGCAGGCTCCTGGCATGACTTTCGAGTCAAAATGTAAATAGTGCAGATGGATAAACCTGTCTCCTAAAACAACTTTCACTGCCCCCCCAAGGAATCGCACACACTTTTCATTTGACTCCTCAGATTGTCTTTTCAAAAGCAAATATATAGCTTAACAACTAGTCTAAATCTCAAATGGCAATGATGTGACATTTAAGAAATCGACTTTTTTGTTCACTTACAGATGCAAATTTGTGTCCAAAACTTATCCATTCTTTTTGCACCAATATTTCAAACCCCTCGATGCTCCGATAGAAGCTGTCCAGCATCAGCATGGCCAGGGACGTCAGCTGGGCGGTCCTGTCCCAGCCGTCGCTGCAGTGCACAAGCACTGAGCTCTTCCCTGAAGAAACTTTGTCTGCTACTTGAATGGCTCCCGTCAAAACAAGCTGGCAAAGAACACGCGATTAGGAGGTAGCTGTAAGATACTGCTGACATTTGAAATGATCGTTTTGAACCCCAGAAAAGGTCATGTTTTCAAAAAACTGCTACTGTCTAGGACAGAAAGCCTTCTGCAAATGGAACAGCAGGAGCTGTGGGGCCTGCTGCTCTTCCTCTGGGGCAATGGCATTCTAATGAGAGTAGGTTATTAAAAAAAAACAACAACCAAACTCAATGCACACAAAGCCAAACTGCATTTCAAACTCCTTTAAAGTTCATGTGATTAGAGTACTGAGGGCTGTGTCATTGCCAAGTACCACAGCCTGTGGCTTAAACAACAGGAATGTATTATGTTGCTAAAAGCCCGAGACCAAAGTGTGGGCAGGGCCAGGCTCCCTCTGAAGGCTCTAGGGAAGGACCTGTTCCAGACCTTCTCATAGCTCTGGTAGAGTTCCTTGGCTCGTGGCAGCAAAACTGCAATCTTCACACGATTTTCTCCCTGTGCCTGTGTCTCTGTGTCCAAATTTCCCCTTTGAATAAAGACACCAGTCTTACTGGATCAGGGGCCCTCTACTCCGGTATGACATCATCTGAACTCATTGCATCTGCAAGGAGCCTAGTTCTAAAAAGGTCACACTCTGAGGTCCTGGGGGGTCAAGGTTTCAATAGATGAAATTCTGGGGGGACGGGGTTCAATTCAACCCATAGCAGCGATCATTTTAGAAAAATCACTGGCCCAACAGGTCTAGTCTAGACCTTAAAGGCCTGACACAAGGGAAATCACCTTTTAGCCTTTAAATCGACAAAATATGAACTATTCTGTGGCTTGTAAGTAGAACACCTACGTCAAGATAAAGTGACAGCCTTCTGGTAAACGTTTGAGACGTAGAAATACTACTAAACTTATGTATACAAAGAGTTATTGCTAGGATGTCATTTTTGGATGATTTCGGTATTTATGGAGTTATCCTTTATGAAGCATGGGACTTTACCCATCATGAGTGTGCAGTCTGATGAGACGGCATAAATGTATACAGCTGCATGGGCATCAGCCCAATCCACTTGTAGAGGGCTTCCATCGGCCGCAAAGTCTCGTGTGCCACCTGAGGTCAATCCCTGCTCCCACCCTCAGCCCCCAGCAGCCATGGATTTGCTTTCTGTCTCTATAGTTCTGCATTTACTAGAAACGTCATCTAAATGGAATCATATAATAGGTGATCTTTCATGTCTGGCTGCTGTCGCTTAGCATCATGTTTTTAAGGTGCATCTGTGTTGTAGCCTGCGTCCGTATTTCCTTCCTTTTTATGGCCAAGATGTATTCCATTGTATGGACCGGTCATATGTTACTTATCCACTCCTTAGCTGATTGACACTTGGTTGTTTCTAGCATTTGGTTACTATGAATGACGCTGCTATGAACTTTCGCACACACAGATTTGTAGGGACTTAAGTTTTCATTTCTCTTGGGTAAATACCGAAGAGTGAAATGGTTGGATCATACAGTAAATGTATGTTTATTTAACTTTTTAGGAAACTGCTAAGCTGTTTTCAGAAGTGGTTGGACCATTTCACATTGCCACTGTCAGTGTATGAGGGCTCCATGTTTTCACGTGCTCATCAGCCATTCACATACATGATGCCATTTCTGGAGCCCCCCAAATCCTAACAGCTCTGCAACAGCCATGTATTATGGTCATTTTCACGGATTCAAGGCAAAATCAGACTAAGTGAAAGATGTAGTATAAAGAACTTTAAAGACATGTACTTTCTGTTATTTTTTTTAACTTGATTTACTTATTTTTTTAAGTAAGCTCTACGCCCAATGTACGTCTTGAACTAATGACCCCGCTATCAAGAGTCCCATACTCCACCGACTGAGCCAGCCAGGTGCCTCTGAAGCTATGTACTTCCATTATTTTGACATAAACAGTAACTGCAGATAAGTGGACAAAGTAGTGCCGAGAAGGACAGGTGAGGGGACCTGACGGCACATCAATTATTCGTACAGAAGTCATCGCTTTTAAACTGACTAGAGCAGCTTCAGTTCTTCAAGCATTTTAAGTATCTCCTCAAAATCCTGTTTATAATTTTAATTTGAGGCACTTCTGAAGAAAGGGCTGTTGAGCAGCAACAGAAATATAGCAGATCACTTGAATTCAACTTAAGGAAGCTGAGCTTCTGCTGCCCTCTTACAGAGGGCGACTTCACTCCAGACACTTCCCTTATGAAAAGGGGATACAGTCTCAGTCCGTCATCTTTAAAAATATTAGATGTTTTCCAATAAAGTATGAATTCCCACCATTGCTTCTCAACAGGAATGCTGCTAGTTATCTAGTGAAATGAAATCAGATTTTCAAAAATACCACTGGAAACTGATAATCAGATGGACTTGTGACTGACGGGAAGGCAGTGTATGGCACGCTGGCTCAATGGCCTGGAGGCCTGGGGTTGAAACCTCCTTCCACCACTTTTGACATGTCACCCACTGAGCCAATCAAAGAACCGTGGTTCCTTTCTCTCTGAAGCGAGGGGAGAAATGGTATCCCCACCACCAGCTTGTCTTGGCCTAAAAGAAAGAATCCCCATAAAGTGATGACATGGGGCATGGGTTCAAATGAATGTTGGCTGCCGGCTAGCCACATTCTAAGAAACACAAAATAACAGGAAGGGCTATAGGGCAAAAGTGTTGAAAAGGACAGACAGAAACTGTAAGCTCCAGAAACCACAGAGACATTCTACCCTGTTGGGGCTCCGTTGACGGACTAGGATGAGGATATGGGACATATGCCAAGGTGGTGGTGGTCTCCTCGCCTGCAAAGCTTGCCCTGTTTTGCACAGAGTGGTGGGACCATTTCGCCTGAATGCAGGTTAGTGGTGGCCATGCCATGTGTCTGTCAGCAGTCCTGGGGCTGCAAAATAGTGTGCGAGGCTGAATAATGGGTCAACCAAAGATGTCCTGGTCCTAGCCCCTGGAAATCTGTGAACACTGCCTTGTATGGTAACAGACTTTGCAGATGTTATCAAGATAATGACTCTAAGATGGAGAGATTATCCTGGATTATGCAGGTGGGCCCTAAATTACATCCCATGTATCCTGATAAGAAGGAGCAGAAGGAGATTTCACAGAGAGCAGGCAATGGGATCACAGAAGCAGAGAATGAAGCGATTTGGCCACAGCCAAGGAATGCCAGCAACCACCTGAAGCTAGACGAGGCAAGGAACAAGACTCTCCCCCTAGAGCTTCCAGAAGGAGCACAGCCCAAATGTGCCCCCACCCCTGCTGATTCCCACTCGATCTTCAAGGTCCAGCTCAAGGCTACCCATATCTCTGCTCCCCCTTTTTATTTTAAATTTTATTTTATTATGTTATGTTAGTCACCATACATTACATCATTAGTTTTTGAGGTAGTGTTCCATGATTCATTGTTTGCGTGTAACACCCAGTGCTCCATGCAGTACGTGCCTTCCTTAAT